CATCTCATCACGCTGGAGGATGACCTGCTCAAGCTCACCAAAAGGCTCAAAAATCTCCTGGAGATCCTTCTCGGTGACACTAAAGTGAATGTTGCCAACATAGAGACGATGGAAGGGAGCACCGTTGGCACCAGGCGCAGCACCACCTTCGGAGGGGCGGGCAGCACGATTCTTCTCGGCTTCGGTAAGCTGGGCGATGATGGGAACACCCTTCAATTTCTGACCAGTCAGTTCCAGTGCTTGGGGTACAGACTCTTCATCCTTGAACTCAACATAGCCGACACTGGACATGTTAGCTGTATTCCAAGATGCGTAGTGAAAAGAGTGCTTACCCTTTGGACCGACCAGTCACTCGATCTTTGACAATTTGGGCCTCGACAACTGGGCCAACTCGCTCGAAGAAGGCGCGCAAGTGGCGAGTCTCGGCACGCTGGGAGATCTGCTGGACGAAGATGGTGCGCTTGTCACGGTCGTCTTCAGTAATTTCGGGCTCGGGCGGAGTATTGTTACGACGGCTGTTGCGACGCTCGTCACCATTGCGACGGCGGTCTCGGGACCTATCACGGTACCTGTCATCGACACGGTCACGACGAGGGGAGCGGGTGCGTGGGCGTCCACCTCCGCTGTAAAAGTCACCGCGGTCACGACGCGGTCCGCCGCGCCGGTCTCGGGAGCTGCTACGGCGATGCCTATCACGGTCTTCATCTGTGTCAGTGCCTTTGCTCGATCGGGGTCGGCTTCCTTCTCTTCTTCGGTGATCTCTATCGCGGCTACGGTGCCGGTCTCCATTGGACTCACGATAACGGTCACCTCGTCCCCTGCTTCTATCACGTCGGTCGCGTCGATCTGAGTGGCGGTCGCGGTCGTCTCGGCGGATGTCGACGTCGCGCGCCTCGATGCTAGCGAGGCGCTCGCGGTCCTTCATCTCGACCTCGCGTGCCGTCTCCTCGAGGAGGGCATCGACCGCGGCTGATGTAGACATGCTGTGGGTAGTGCCTAGCTCTCGATAAGTGTGGTCGGTCGGAAGTGATGAGCTTGGTCACTGCAAGATGCGATGTTGTTTGAGAGGCGAGCTTTGGCTCAGATAGTGAATTCAATTAGGATAGTGAGTGAGTGAGCGTGCGTGTAAACAACTGTCACCGCAGTTGCCGTATGACGTCTTGGATGCTCCGTATAAACTGCACTCGATGAGAGTGTGCTTGCTTGGAAGCGTTTGTTGGTGCGCACAGATCGTTGTGGGTGAGTGAGGTGGACAACGGAAAGGCTGGCCCGATTGAGACAGTCTGAAAACTTGGAGGGGTCTTGGCAAGGGACCCGCATGACTAAGCTAATAGCTGCAGGCAGCCACTCACGTGCTTGTGTAATGGAGGCGGCGCTGCAAATACCAGGGTTCATGTGCGGACTAAAGCCACAAGTCTTATTGAACATTAATATTATTTCTATGTAGAGGTTTCTTGATAGAGTAGTGTGAGTGATCCAAAATGATCTTGCAACCGGTTCAACGCCTCCCAATGCCAGTCTTCATGAATAGTGTCAACCAGAGGGGGACAGTAATGATGCGTCGTCACGTTTCGATGATTAGTTAGTCTTGATGACCTTGGTAGGACCCATGTCGAGTTCGGTGCCAAACACCCAGTCCCAGAAACGGCTTGTTACACCAAAGCCGTTTTGGTAGTCAGCGAAGTGATGCTTCAGGTGATACTTCTTGAGCTGCTGATAGTAGGAAGGGAGCCTTGGCCACGTCAGCAGGAGTCCGCACAAAGAATAAATACACGTACTTTTGGTGATGGAGAAAGTAATGCGTCATATCGTAACATGTGTATCCAAAGACGCCACCGCAGAAGGCAGCCACGGCAGCATGCCAGTTCCAGAAGATGGTGCCATGCGCGACAGACCAGAATGGTGTTGCTAGAGCAGTAAACAGCGTAGGGGGCATTACAAGGCGGTACTTGTCCATGGGAAGGTAGTGGTGGATGCCGTGGAGGATGAAGTGGAGGGTAATTGCAACACGGTTGTCTGGAAGGTGGCTATTGCATGTTAGCACCAGCCGAATCTATAGGGAGAGATGATACTTACTCGTCCAAGTGGAATAGTCCCCTATGTAGAACATACTCGATGATCGTCCAGAAACACAAGCCAAAGATCCAGTAGCCCGCTAGTTCAGGCACCGATCGTAGGCCACCGTATGCCACTGCTGTTCCGTACGCTACACAGGGCCACCATATTGTGGGCACAACCCACCAGGGCGTCTTGCTCAAAGGCTCGAGAAAGTTTCCAAACAACGGGGCGGAATCGCCGCCTTTGTAGTGCCGCGGTCGGTGGACTTGCTCGAGATAGAATTGCTTGCTGAATCCGCCATTCCAGACTTGCATGAAGAGTGGCCTGTTGAGATCCAAAAACTTGTGTTCCTTGTAATCTTTGTTGGGGTCCGTCTCTTTGGACAAGTCATCCTCAGAAGACATTCCAGTTGCCGCATACAGCGGTTTTCCATCCTGCGACATGGTCTTGAGCTCCTGTGTACCAGCTTGCGAAGGAGGCAAGGGGATGATGTCGGCAGGCGTTGAGCTTTTCACGGCACCATTGATTACCGACTCGGTGGCCACGAAGCCGACGAGATTCTCCTCGAGAATCTCGTATGCCGAGTTGGAATGTGCGTGGGAAATTTCATCCTTCAAAATAGCCTCCACGTCCTTGCCTGCATATTCGAGAATGAGCTCGGGACCACCAGGGTGACCGTCGAGGAAGTCTGTGACATCGTAGACTTTTGTGCCAATGGTGACATAGCACGACTTGTCGGTGTTGTGGGCGCGCACTTCGGCAGTCGGAATGGTCGGGAGGGTGCGGCCAGGCATTGTGGCGGTCGAGGACATGTAGTCGTATCTTCAGAGGCGTAGAGGGCTGGGCAACGTGCGTGCAAAGACAACCCAGGGTCTGCGGGGAAAGGAGACTCGGTACCGTGGATGAAGCCAAGTTCCCACAAGACACCAGCGCGTAAGGAAGGAATGTATAGGGTCGGAGAGCAAGTAGGGCCGTGAAAAAATCGTATCCAGGCCTGGGCGGTGTGCACCGTGTATAGTGTGTACTTGGGGATGTAGTACTACATATGTATGTGTCTAGGCAGTGAATTGGTCAGGAGAGCCAAGAGATCGCTCGCCCTGCAGATCTGACCACCGGCAGCTACTGTCCGTGCTCACCCAATGCAACAATCAGCCAATGCAACACTATCTGCCCCACCCAAAATATCAACCCACCATTTTCAACACGTGATATCTCCACCACCATGACAGCTCTTGCAAAAGCGATTGCGGCAATCAATTCGCAAGGTCCAGAAGGTCAACTTTCATACCGCGCAGCTGTAAAAAAGTTTAGTGTTGAGGTTTCAATATTGACGCGCCGGCACTAAAACAAAACGACGTCGCGTGCGGCAGCTGCTAAAAAACGCTAACTACTCACTCCACCATAAGAATCTAAGCTAGTGAAATATATAGAAAAACTTACTGAGCGCGGCCTACTACCTTCTTGAGCTATAGTAAAAAATTATATAGCGGTTATTATAGAATAGGAGCCCTCTAATAGCTGGGTTTCACGATTTTTGACCCATCACCACGACAAAATATTTACTAAAAAATCTACCAGCATCGACCGCGCCCGTCGTCTGGCTAACAATCCAGCTAATTACTAACTATATTTTGACCTTATCTATGATAAGCTCGATTAATATAACGTTGCGCTATATAATATCTATAATATGGACGAGAAGGGCTTCCTCCTTAGTCGGATTTCACCTACTAAAAGAATCTATTTAAAGGAGCTTTAGGAGCAAAAGAAAGTGAGGTAATCCCTCTAAGATAGGAGTAGGGATTAGATAACGATTATTAGCTATATTTATGCTAATAGGAGTTTAGTAGATCCCGCGATAATCTACGAGGGAGTAGATGGTCTTTACAATAAATAGCTGCGGGACCTAGAGGTGGGAAAACACTAGATTTTTTGCGGCACCAGCCTATCGGGATGGAGTAATAATTAGCTCGCGCTGGCTTAGGTTGAGCAGGTGTTCGATCGCTGCACGAAGGAGAAAGCAAAACGCGACTATAGGATGCTCATCGTTGATGGGCATGGTAGTCACCTAACGCCTTCCTTTATTAAGTACTGCTATCGCAATTGAATACTACTCGCAGTATTTCCACCTTACGCCTCTTACAGCCTCTAGCCACTCGACGTTGGCGTGTACTCACCTCTAGCAACCGCGTACACCACCACGCTCATTAACCTTATTAATAGCAATTAAGGCCTTATTAATATATGGAAAAGTGATTTCCTACGCTTATTTTAGGTGGCATATATATCTGCTTTTATAGCTAATAATATATTAAGCAGTTTTTGGGCTACTAGGATCTATCCGCGCAATCCAGACGTCGTACTTGATTACTTTAAAACACCACCACTACGTGCTAGTATAGATATAGAAATTAGAGAGGCAGGTAATAGAGATATATAGAGGGATCTGTTAAAATTATTTAACGCTACGGTGCCGGATATATTAAAAAAATGCAGCTAAATAGCTTAAATAGGCGCTGTATTCATTGCAGATCTAGAACGAGCTTTTACACCATAAACTCAACGAACTGCGGGGCAGTATTACTACTAAAAAAAGCTGCAAATCTGATAGAAAAGTTCTCTAACTATAGCAGTATGAAGAGTATCACAGCACTGCGGTAATATGGAGCCCACGATTAGTAAGGGAGGCTAGAGCCCGCGAGGCTATAGAACAACAAGAAGAGCATGAAAAAAAACTCTAAAAAAACCACTAGAGGGAGGAGCGAGCTGCCGCAGCTGCTTATAAAAAACTAATAACAGCAGAGGCACGGGAGGCTCACCAAATATTAAGAATGGCGCGGCAGAGAGAGCGAGCTGCGAGGGCTGCACAACTAGCTGTCGCGCGCGCTAAAAAAGCACGAGACCACGCTACTGCAACTATATAAAAAGCTTATAATAAGTAGAATACTACTAAACAAAAAGCTTTATCAAATCAGAATATAAAAATATTAAAGCGGCGTCGTGTTGTGGAGGTTAAAAGTGGTGGTGGTGATGCATCACCACCCGCCAAGCCTATCACCAAAACCACCACCCGCGGCCGCAGTATGCGGTTGCCGAGCAAATATCAGTAGATATATATNAAATATACGATCATGCTAGTACTCCACCAAAAAATCTCGCAATAATAGCGTTTTGGTGGTGGTTAAAAGCTTCATTTTTTGGTGAGCTCGCATTTTGGTGGGGTGTTGCATTGGCTGAAGTGTTGCATTGGGTGCGCACGGACAGTAATGGTGGCGAGACCGCCGGCCTTCTCGTCCGTCCGCCTCCGAGATTCCGAGATGGCACTGCAACCACCAAAGCGTAGTCGTCGAAAAGGAGATGCAATTTCCTTTTACTGGGGTCTCCCGCAGTGGGTTTAGATGCAGTATTTTTTTTCTTTTTGCCCGCACTTGAATTTGCCCACTACACGGTTAAACTTGGCACGCTCGCCGGCCTGGCTACTACACCTGCGTAGTATGGACCTGGCTTGTTACTCCTTGCACTCGCGCACTCACTGTACAGGCTGCAGGTCCACTCTGCTAGCCATGTGAGACATGAGATACTCTTCCCACATGCTGAGGACAGCTTGTAACAGCCTGTCACTGTGTGGAATGGCGCCGTGGGTTGTTCCACATAAATACATCAACCACTCTTACGGATAAGTGCGAGGTACTGACTCTGCGCCCGCACCTTTGCATGCTGCATACGAGAGGATTCATTGCTGTCGCTAACAAACTGTATACTCATATCGCGCGTGAAAAAAATGGTGTGTTCTATCTGTGTGGAAGTGTCAAGCTGAGTTGAAGGCATCGATAGCATGGTGAGCCATCTTGAATACTGTTGTCCCTGAATATACTGCACTGACTTCGTAAGATATGGTACACACGACCATCGGAGAAATAGAATTATTTCCCCCTCGCCATCCGTCTAAATCGGTGGTTCTGGGTTGGGATCAATTAACTAAGATTCGTCCTCGGTTACCCGTTTCAGGAATCGCGACTCCGTCCGCAGCTCCCACCAACATAGTCCCAAATGACCATTAACAGTCATTCAACATTCCTGTATGCGTCTGAAAGTACTCGCTGCAATAGCAGCGCACTGGCTTAAGGACGATTTGCCGCTAGGATTGGGCTCACAACCTTCCTGACCAGGCAAACTGTGTCGCCAGCATAGGTTCTGGGAAAGTTTCTCATAACAAGTTTCCCGCGGCCTACGAGGATGCCATCACCCAGACGCTTGCTTTAATTGACAACCCAGAACTGTCTATCGATACGTCCAAAGTTATCCTGTGTGGCAGCTCAGCTAGAGGTAACCTTTTTCTCGGCGCGGCCCAGGGTTCCTAGCAACTTGTCCAGATTCTTCAGTCCCCGCCTTCATCGACGAAAGATATGATAACATCCTACCACTATACGTGGATGCAGCTCAGGAACTATCCATCGAGGATGTGCGCCTGAGTCTTATGTTCTTCGCTACAAGGGCACACTTGCCAGCAGAAGTTTTACTTATCGGCGCTATGTTGAGACGTGGCGGTTTTCGTGGAAACCTCACGTTCACCGGCCATAGCTGTGCGCAGCTTACTGGTGGGTCACGTTACCACACCGGTTCTAGGCATCAGTGCTGAGTATGATGTTCAGCCCATCCAATAGATGGAGGGTGGACGTGCAGGAAGAGGGCTAATCGGGAGCTGAAACTGATACCTTGACACAGCAATCGCTTCACACATTTCACGTGCTCTATAGGTACGCATACCTTAAGATCTCAGTCGATCGATAAAACGTTGTGGCACATCTTTAATGAGTGTTTTGCCGTTGCAGTCGTTCAGAATTCTGCTTTTGATGTCACGTTTTAGTGTCACGGTTGAGATGGCTTCTGCTCAAGGGAGCAAAAGGTCAATCTTTTGCTCCACCATAGAACTGTTCTCGCGTATTAAGCCGTGCACAATGATAGCGCAGCACTCAGCCCCAGCTAGTGTGATCTAGCCTACACAGTAAACCACTCGCAGCAGCACACTGCCCCGTGAGAGTATGCCACGCGACGCCCATGCTTGGGAGCTGAGCTCAGTCTTCGATTTAAGGTTGTTGCATGATGCTTCACTAGACGTTTGTTTTTGTAGGCTGCTGTTAGTTATACTTAGCGGAAGCGTTAGAGACTTTTAAGCGAATAGAGATGGGTAGAACTGTAAGCATAGCCCGTACTCACCACTAGGACAACGCAAAGTCTTGGTCAGAGAGTGTTTAGGTAGCGTATATAAAAGAGAAGTGGCAGCGCGATGCATTTTCAGCAGTTGCCCAACTCCACATTAACCTCTTCTCCTATCCTTTGTGTCCCACCTTTTTCGCAATGTTTTTGACACTCCCCATTTCTCTTTCTCTCTTTATCACCAGCCAGATCTGCCATGCTGTACCACTCATCACCCCTCGTGGTCCAACCACGGCGTGTCCTTCACAAAGGCTATATGCATCTGAGCGAACTTGTATACCATACGTGGAAAAGAAGGACATCGCCGGTATCAGCTTTAACCTCTACACCTGGACCGTTCTAGACTCCCCGAACACTCCTGCTGGGGACAGCTCGTATCTTGCTCCACTCGTCAAGGCGGCTGAAGATGTCTTGCCTTTCTATGCAACGCTCATGAAATCTAAGATGAAGACTATCAATGTATTTCTTACAGAAGAGTTCGAAGACCGTGGGGTCACAGATTTCTTATCAATGGATCCGAGCATCTGCAGCATCCGAGTGGGGAACAGGCTACCTCTCGACAATGGGTCGGTCCAAAAGACACTCGCCCACGAACTGTACCACTGTGTTCAAAGAACATTTCAGCCAATAAAACCGTTCAAGGAATCGGCATGGTGGAGCGAAGGGTTGGCCGAGTACTTTGGCAATGTTTTCTTTCCAGGAACCAACGGCGGACATATGCCATCGTATAATCCAAAAGCGCAGCTTTGGAGGAACACCTATGGCGCCAGTGTGTTCTTCCAATATTTGTCTGGTACCGTTTCCGATGTGGACATCCACAATTGGGGCATCGTCCAGCCAGATCTCAGGTTACCGCAGGGCGTAGAGGCTAGCGTATCTCAAGACAAATTCATTACCGATGCGTTTCCAAGCTTCGCGGCACAGTTTGCGGACGGGAACATCAAGTACAAGAATAAGCAAACGGTCGTCGCCAATATACCTACTCCGAGATATCTCGACAATATCCCTCCCAAGCCTGGTGTCTACACAAAGAATACGAGATTGGGCTCCTTTACCGTTCTGGAGAAGTTGGAGTTGACTTTGCCAAAAAACCGCAAGATTTCCTTCAGGTTCGACACGCAGGACAGCCAGACCGTGCTACAGTACCGCAAGGCGAGCGAGCAGAATTGGAACACTGCGAACAAGGGAGTAGAGACTCTCCTCGAGCAAGGCACTTGCGAGTACGTCTTCCTTGCGACTTCCACATCACACGACAATTTCAACCAAGCCTTCAATTTGCCGATTACTTTCACAGTGAAGAAAGCACCGAAGAATCGTAAGCATAAGCGTGACGACGTGGGGAACTCTATCCTCGTTGGAATCCAGAGCGGAGGAATCGCCCAAAACAGCTCAGTGACCTCAGTGACCTCAGTTACCCCAGTCACCACAGTCACCACATTCACTACAGCTACCATATTCACTACAGCTACCATATTCACCACAGCCACCGTAGTTACCACAGTCACTGCAGTTGCCACAGCCGCCACAGCCGATCGAGTCACTCCAGTCACCCCAATCATCCCAGTCACCACAGCTACCCCAGTTACCACAGCTACCCCAGTTACCACAGCTATCCCAAATACCACAGCTATTCCGGATACATCAGCCGTCCCAGATATACAGGGCGCAGTAGAAGGCGCAAATGAACAATGGCAGACCATCTTCATAGATGGCAGTGAGCCATACGAGGACGACCAAGAGGGGGGCAGCTGCGAGAACCAATGTCTCGTTGGAAATTGGCATCTCGACGTACCCAGCATGCAAAGTTTCCTAGCGCAGAAAATCCCCGCATCGGTTGCCACACAAACTCCAGTAACGATCACGAATCTCGCCGTGACGGGCTCGTCAACCTTCAGCGTGACATCGAGCTTGGCTAGCTCGTGGATTTTTGACCATCTCGACATCTCTTACGATGCCACTGCTGACAACGTGGCCTTCCACACTCTGATGGATATCACTGGCTCATTGGACGGAAAGGTAAAGCTGAGTGGAGATGATATGTTCTCCTGGGAGAACATTCAGTCAACAGGAGCAATCAAAACGACGACCTCCGTTTTTGGCATACCTCTTGAACTAGATTTTCCATTGAGTGAGCAGTACGGAGTAAGTACACAGGTACAATATATCTGCGAGGGTGATACATTGCAGATGGCTGGGTATGTCGATGGGGGGTATCAGTGGGGATACACTTGGTCAAGAGATGTTATCGTGTGAGGACATCTTCGCACAGGGTAGGATCAGAACAGTAGTTTTACGGGGGTCCGTCTTTGTTATAAGGCGTACCAGATTTGCTCTTCCCTTTACAGCAGTGGACTCGTATTCGTACCAACATCGAGCATAGTGAGAGTGAGAACTTGAAAGGATGCATACCTGAATAGATGCAAGTGTTGCCGAATGTCGAGGAAACATGCAATGCGGTACTGCAGACGCTCGAAGGCCACTTGCATTACCCTTTATAAAAGCACTATTAGCTTTAGATATGTGTTAGAAAGAGAAAAGGCAAGAGTAGCAGCGGCAGATGTTATGCTCTCCAATCCTAGCCTGCTTCATCTGAGCAGATAACATGTCAATGGAGTCATTGATGGCGGCCTGATCTTCAGCTGAGATAAACCAGGCTCCGCTGGGCGAGCTTTCGTCGTCCACCCGTCTTCGAACCATTCAATACTTGCTCAGCCTGACTTACAAGTTCCCTCTCAACCAAGGATGCCCAAGCAACTCCCTCGCGGTCCAATAATCCTCAGGTCTCCACTGCAACATGCACCTCACAAACTGCAAGAACTCTTCTTTCTTCTCTCCATCGTGATTCTCTTCTTACGCCTCTAACGTCAAGCCTTCCGGTATGCTTATCTGAGCTACCCAATTGCCTAATGGAACTTTGGTTGGCTTCATATGGTACTTTGGGAGCGCAATCTCACCTTCACAATCGAAGAATTCTTTACTCCACGCTCCTCTTTCTAACATATCCATCGGCGGAGGCCACTAGCGAATATCTGCCCTTGTTTGTTTTTCTTTGCAACTTTTTATTCTTTGCCCAACTCATGTAGGTCACGTGCGGAGGTCTTGGCATGTTCTTAGAGTGCATGTGCACTGCGGCTCACCATCTATACAATCAACCCCAAGCAAGGTTGCACATGACCCCTGACGGCTGCCATGTCAGCTTTCCAACTTCACTTTTACGTATCTCCACATGTATACACGTTTTTCCTCGACCCCACATGCCAGGTAGCGACAGCGAGCCGGGCCGAATGTTTGAAACGGGCTCGCGTGGGCGGTCACGATAGGCTGGTGAGGGCTGGTCAGCCTCGGTGGACCCTTGTCGGCATTCCTGGCGGCCAGGGGCAGGCACACCCTATGGCGTCACTGACCGTTATCAAGTTGCAACTTCTCTCCCGCACTGGCAGCATCCACCATCCAGCAGCCAGCAACCAGCATCAGCCAAGGTTTCAACATATTTCTTGTTTGCCCTGCATCGCCCCGCCACAATGCGCCCCTCGCACTTCCTCAGCCTTGCTTTCAAGAACCCTCACGACCCTCTCGCCTCATCGCCGTCTTCTCAACATCATCATCCCTCTGACCTGAGTCCTCGGGTCCTTGCATCTTGCACCCTACACCCACACATCATTCCCTGAGCACCAATACCTGTCCTGTGACTGCGCACACTGGATGCGCAATCACAGCTCGTCATGCCTGCTACTCGCCTTTCAAACAGTGGCACCCAGCCTATAATGCCCGTTTCTATCGCTCGCCTATGCTCCGCATTCTTCCTACTGGGCGGACTGCCTTTGGCAGAAGGGTTACACCACATGGCAATGAAGGCGCCACCAAGAACCAATCGAAGAAAATTGGATATTACCCCCTTGCTCGTCACGAACCGTTGCCCCGAGAGCATCTGGCCGGGCATCTCGACTCAATCCGGCTCAGGGCCAAGCGAGAACGGGTTTGAATTGAAGCCTGGAGAGACCAAAAATCAGACCGTGTCCGAAGACTGGCAGGGCCGGTTGTGGGGGAGGACCAATTGCTCATTCAACGATGACGGCTCGGCTGCAGCATCAGGGCGGGGGAAGGCTTGTGCAACCGGAGACTGCGCAGGTGCTCTCAACTGCAAGACTGGTGTAGGTATTGGTACGATTCGCAACAAACCTCTGCTGACTCCACACAGGGCGATGTTCCTGTCTCGCTTGCTGAATTTACATTGGACGCTGGCGATGGACACACCTACTACGACATTTCATTGGTTGATGGCTACAACCTCCCAATGGCAATTGTCCTCCAACCACTTGAAAATGTCACGCTAGACGACCTCCCCCCAAATCTGACCAATCCATCCTGTCAGGGAACAGACGGCCTCCTTGCCCCTCAAGGCTATGACCCGTATTCGGAAAATCCGAATTTTCTCAGCACAAACTCTTCATTTCCGCTTCCATTTGACCAGGACGTGGATGGAAATAGGATTTCCAGGTGGTGTCCCTGGGACTTGCAGCAAACCCCTCCGAAGAAGCCTGGCGACGGCGTCTATCCCTACCCAGACGACAACATCAAAAGACCTCAGTTCAACCCTTGCTACTCCGCCTGTGCAAAGAACAATCGACCCGAGGACTGCTGTACCGGAAAATACGGCTCTCCTAGCTCGTGCTCGCCGAGCCAGTACTCCAAGAACGTCAAAAAAGTGTGCCCAGATGCTTACAGTTATGGTACGTTCCAAACATACTGTACGAAGGAGCCATGACTAATATTCTATCTTAGCTTTTGATGACCAGAGTTCGACTTTTATTATTCCATCTGGTGCTGGATTTGAGGTCGTTTTTTGTCCCGGCGGTCGCTCCACGACAATTCTCATGACAAACAAGGATGAGGTGCAGCAGTTGGCACAGCAAGGAAGAGTTGATAAGCAAGCTACTATAAGCCTGATGGGCACCCGGACTAGCAAGGTTCGCAGGAGTGCTGCTTTGGCGGCGTATCAGCTAGATTGGGGTATGCTGGCAGCCGCTGTCGTCACCACAACCACTGTCATAAGTGCACAATTTTTGTAGCAAGACACTGCTACAGTTGACCATTTGTGGGTCTAGAAAACGCCCAATACGGCTCGTACTGTTCTGTGCTTGGATAGCTATATACCCTGCGTCGCGAATCAATTATTTCATCCTCATCATTCATCGATGCCAGTGGTTTCCCCGCTTCTTGTGGAAGGACCACTTTTCCTTGTGTACTTGGTATCTCCGTGGAGTATCTATATAGGGAAAATGAAGTGCATCTTACATACGACGTCCCGTACCGGATTGTTGCTCAAGGTAAACTTTCAGTATTGCGCTTCGGTCCTTTTGCTCATACAAACGGAGGGCTACGTCCGCGGCCATGGTGGCCCGATACATACGCCCTTTACTGTTCTCTCGAGATACTACCAATCAAATCGTTGGAGAAACATTCATGTTCGGTCTTCAAGAGCGAGCGTACGATACTCGACGCAAAATCATTATTCTATGCTGCGTGGGCTATGACCACCTAGAACACTGGCATTACAGTCGCTAACCGACCCAACACCGCCTCTTATGACTACGTATGACACGGAACAATCCACACCGATCTCGTCTTGGATTTCACATTCTGCATCTGTACCGCGTGGTCTGTCGACGGGGTACAACGCCGGCCTAGCGTCATGTTTTCCGACTGACCGACCCACTAAACGCGCTTGCCTAGCTGGTTTGGCACCGGACCACCACCTCCGCACACCTAATCCGGACCACCGCTTTGTGTCATGCATTGCTCGATGTGTCTCCGCGCGGCATGTCGTACTCCGGCAAAGTCCACCATTTGTTATATATGCTGAAGAGACCCTTTGGTGTTTTCCAAAGGACAGTGCGTCGCTGCTTCATCACTCATTCTGCTCATCTGCAGTTCCGGCAACGAATTGAGGTTCGCCAACGTGCTGGCCAACTCGGAAAGTAGCCACCATGGCAAGGAACCAGGCTTTCAACGCCCATCGATTGGCCGAGGGCTGGACCTTTAAACAGGCTGACGATGCCGAAAATGGCTGGATGCCAGTGAAGTCAGTGCCTACAAATGTCCACCTAGACCTAATGGACAATGACAAGTATGTTTTGAACTAAGCAAAGAGGAATACTATCGTTTGGAAAGGGCTTACAAGACACAGAATTCCAGACCCATTTCTAGGTTTCAATGAGCTCAAAGCTGAGTGGGTAGCTGACAAAGTGTGGAAGTACAAGGTTGAATTGCCCAAAGTACCTCAAGCACAGCAAGGCACTGTGCATGTCCTAGCATTTGATGGCTTAGACACTTTTGCAACCGTCAAGCTCAATGGAGCAGTCATCCTCGAAAGTAACAACATGTTTATCCCACACCGCATCGATGTTACCCAGAAGCTCGGATCCGACAAGAACATCTTGGAAATCGACTTTGCATCTGCTCGCCTTGAGGCCATCAAAATCAAGGACAACCACCCCGAGCACAAATGGGTTGGGTTCAATGGCGATATGGCAAGGCTTGGTGTAAGGAAAGCTCAGTATCACTGGGGTTGGGATTGGGGCCCAATCCTCAATACGTGTGGCCCGTGGCGTGAAGTGCGATTGGAAACCTACGCAGCCAGAATCGAAGATTTGAGAATCGACTACCAACTCGACGACAGCCTGAAGTCGGTTCAGGGGACGATATCGGCAGTCATCGAAGGCTCCTCGGCAGACAGTGTCTGCTTCAACGTGTTTGATGGAGAGACGAATGTGTTTAGGGAGACGACAAAGATCAGCAACGGCGTGGCGAATGTGGATTTTCATGTCAATAGCCCGAAATTGTGGTATCCCCACGGCTACGGTGGGCAGCCTCTCTACACTTTTACTGCAACGGCACTGGCAGATGGAGCAGAACTGCATCAAACATCACGTAGAACAGGGTTCCGAAAAGGCGAGCTTATCCAACAGCCCGATGCCATTGGAAAGAGTTTTTACTTCAGAGTCAACGGCGTCGATGTCTTCTGTGGTGGCTCAGACTGGATCCCTGCAGACTCATTTACCCCTAGAGTGAGCGAAGACAAGTATCGCAAATGGCTCGAGATGATGGTAGATGGGTATCAGGTAATGATTCGCATATGGGGCGGTGGCATCTGGGAAGAGAATATCTTTTACGACATCTGCGACGAAATTGGTGTTTTGGTGTGGCAGGATTTCATGTTTGGTTGCGGCAACTATCCCGCCTTTCCGGACATT